CGCATATCCAGCAAGAAGTGCTTAATTTCCTAACTCTTAGCTCCTTTCAATAATCATCTTCTTCTGAGCTTTACATAACTTGTCAAAATCCAACAACCATACGTTTTTCTATACTGTGTGACTTCTCAGGATAACCAAACTCCAAAGCACTGTGTACTCGGTGAGATATTAACAAGGACTTACAGCAAATGCTGTGAATGCTGCCTTAGTGATCATATTTCTTTTATATAGTTAAAAATTGAAATATGGTTTTAGTTCCATAGTAGTCAGTATTCTCAAGCTCTTTTCCAAATCTCTTTTATCAAGGAATAAATTAAGCCAGTTTTATGTTTTAAAACTCATTTTCTTCACTCTAAATTTATAGGTAGATCCTATTTGAAGACTCCTACCCAATAGACAAGGAAATTAAATCCAAATGGTGATTTAATAAATTTTGCAGCACATGTCCAAGAAACCAGGTAAATATCAAACAGATATTTTGAAACCTTTGCATAGTTGGATTTGTTTGTTTTTGTGAATAAATGCAGCAAAATCCCCGAAGCATTCAAATCCATGAAATAACACAGTTTATGCCAATTTGCTCTCATTTCCACCCTCCTATCTCTTTCCAATCAACTTCTAACTGGTTTATGGATATATAGTATTAGGCATTTAAATGTGTGTTTCAGTCACTGCCATTCATTTACTTATTACGTCTGTAAGTACCCACTGGATGCTTGCGGAGTGCCTGAAGTTGTTTCAGTGAACAAAACAGACAACCCTGCCACCCATGGAACATACCACCGTCTAGGAGAGGAGAGACAAATACCTTCAGATACAATTATTTAAATTACAATTATGATGAGTGCTTCAAAAGGTAACACTTTAAGAGTATAGAGCCTACCCACCCTACTTCGGGAGCTCAGAAAGTGTCCTGAGTAAGTGACACTTAAGCTCAGGCAAGGAAGAGTAGCAGTTGGTCAGGAAATGATGGAGGAAGGAGTTGTGTACAAGCCATGGGAAGACCCTGGGTGGGGGGGACACAGACTATGTGGCTAGAGCATAATTAGGGGGCAAGAGTAGAATAAAATGAAATAAGGAGTAAACTGGGAGAGAAGGGCTAACTATTTAGGGCCTTAAAAACCGAATACAAACAATGAGCAGCCATTGAAAGATTTTACTGAAAAAAAAAGAGATTATTAGGCTTACACTGTAAGCTCACTCCAGCTACTCTGTAGAAAGTGAAAGGAAGGAGATGGATAAAGTGAAGCATGGAAAGGAAGAAGCAGTTGGCAATGTATTACAGTGGTCTGTGTGTTCAGGGATAATTTTTTTAAAATAGGTAAAGTTGTGGATTTCATTCAAATGTAGTATTAACATGTGTCAAAGACTTAACTCATTAATTAATGAGGGGACCAGTAAGGTGTTAAAACTGGTTCAAAGTAGAATTCAAAATGCCATATGTTTATGTAAAGGAAAGGTGAAATAAATTTTTAATAGGTGAAAAACAGGTCTCTCCAGGAGGCAATAATCAATTGCATCCCAAGCTACTTTACATTTTTATGAATATGTATCATCTGCATGACTATCTACAAGTCACAGAGTTGCAGAGCAACTCAAAAATAATGGAAGGTAGATAACCCAGATAGATTAGCTGGCAGGGCTCCCACTAATCTTTTCTGCCAATCTTAAAAGTCTTTCACAGATTTGCCTAACTCAGATAACACTGACTTGGATAAAGATGGAGAGGAAGAGACAATGTTGAATATATAGGGTACTGGAATCAACAAAGACTTAACATTCAAAACTTTGGACGGGGAGGAAGCCACAAAGTTTTTAATGTTTGGAGAAGGAGTTTAAAGCAAATTCCTAAATGGCAGAAATTGCCATCAGGGTCTGTTGGATTTCCTACCACATGGGACTGGCCCTATTTCTCCAGAGCAGCCCACACCACAGGAAAGCAGCGGACTTGATCAAGAATTCTATTTTAAAGTTCACCATGATATACCAAAGGGCATGGATAAAGTAAGAGTGACATACAATTCATCCCCTTCAACAGGATTTTTTCTTTGTGCTAGCTTCTCGATTACCTAGTGACACCATGCTCAAATACAACCTGACACCAGCTCTGCGGGAGTTAGGCCGAGCAAGGAGTCTATGGGAATCTCCCAGTCTGTTCCTTTCCTGGTCACCAGCATGGAAGCAGTCAGACTTATGGACTTAAGACAGCCAGAAGAAACAAATCTACACTAATAAAAGAGAAACATGGTAATTGGCATAGGACCGCTACCCTTTTCATTGGCTAATCAGCGAGATATGCAAATTAACTATCAGCCAAGATGGCGGCCAGCAGCCAGGCAGCTTCAAACTAACATGAGGCTTGCTTGCCTCAGTGACGGAGGAAACCAACGTTCCCCACCTGCGACTGCAGGCCTCTGAGCCTACAGTTTCAAACATTGTAACGAAGCCCTCCAGACTTCAGCCAGCAGATTCACAACATTGTATGCAAAGACCAGAAACCTACTTTCAGCAGCGGAGGCCTAAGAGCTAGAGCCAAGCCTCAAGCTAAAGCTGACCCAGAATTAAAAAAAAAAAAAAAGGAAAAAAGGAGAGTTTGGGAGTTCAGTCACCCCCACCCTGAAAACAGCCCTCAGCCCTCACCCAGACTTGGCCAGGCACCCCAGTGGGGACCCCCACCCTGATCCAGGACACCCTTCAGGGCAAACGAGCTGGCACCCACCCATGCACCAGGCCTCTACCCGAGATAGTAAAAGGGTAATATGCCTCCCAGCACCGGGATCAGCGGAGCCGAGAGGTCTCCCGGCACCGGGATTAGCATGACAGGAGGCAACACCCAAACACCCTGATCAGCCCTGCTCTGTGTGTGACGGGGTAGAGCCATAACCTCCCCATCGGCCCTGCCCTGAGTGTGAGAGTGGCGGCGCTCCAACCCCCTGATCAGCCCTGCTCTGTGGGTGATAGAGGGTGGCGCCCCAACCCACTGATCCGCCCTGCTCTGTGTGTGACAGGGGGCAGCGCCCCAACCCCCGGATTGGCCCTGCTCTGTGTATGACAGGGGGTCGCGCTGCAACCTCCCCATCAACCCTGCCTTGAGTGTGACAGGGGGTGGTGCCCCAACTCCCCAATCGGCCCTGCTCTGAGCCCGACCAGGGGCTGCACCTAGGGATTGGGCCTGCCCTCTGCCACGTGGGAGCAGGCCTAAGCCAGCAGGTCGTTATCTCCCGAGGGGTCCCAGACTGCTAGAGGGCACAGGCCAGGCTGAGGGACACCCCCTCCCCCGCCCAGTGCACAAATTTTTGTGCACCGAGCCTCTAGTAAAAAAATAAAAAAATAAAAAATAAGTATATAGTATATGAAGTTTAACATATTCCTCTACTTCATTATATCCAAATATTCATAATTTATTTGATACATTTGTTCTAGACGCATCCAAATTTCTTTTTTGACATCTATTTCTTATTAGAAGTAATCTAAAAGAAATTGTTTCCAGGATCAGCTCAACTTTTAATACTGTTTCTCCAAATAAAACAAGCTTTTAACTTCCGTGTCAGTTTAACATAACTTCAACTTTTACTGCGTGGTAACATTACTTGGGCTTTTCATTGTCCTGGCAATACTTACAAGCCTCCTGGAACAAATGATTTGCATGGGACTAAAAGCCCTGATCTAATGTTACAAAATAATATATACACTTAAAATAATATATACACTTAAAATTATAAGTGTGAAATTTTAAATATCAAGTTCATAAAATCATCTATCCTGAGACCACTGGCAATCAAAGGCACCCGAAGGTTACCTATGCCTCTACAACAAAACAAATTAAAATTTACCAAAAAAAAAAAAATACCTCTGTCTGCTTTAGAATAATCCTACACAGAAAACCACCAACTGTGCAAGCACTTCTATATGCTTGACCTTTCTGTCAATGTCAGACAGTTTTCACGCTCCTTACATTCTCAGAGGCAAGATAAATTTCCCTCAACAAAAAATTTGCAAAACCTAAAAATTCATTGCAATCAAATAACCAACTTTAAGCATTGGGATGTGGAACAATTTTTATCTGCACTGCTATTCAAAGTAATCTTAAAACACTTTCATTTTGTTTCAAAGATACAGCAATGTTTATTTTCCTAACCTCTGCAACCTTCCCAAGTAGAAATTTTTTTTAAAAAAATAACTCAATTAAAATAGCTTTCATACTATTTTAAATACCATAATGGCATTTCTCTGAGAAAGGTTTATTTTTCATCTTGCTATAGTGTCATCTTACAACCCACTAACCTGAAAATTTCCCTCTCATCTCAGACTCAGAGAACAAAATTCCAGTAGCCCCTGGATTACCCAGAGGCCCCAGGAGGAAACCAGTTCAATAACCAATGGATAACTCTATTAGGACAAGTTTAAAAAATAGTGTTGCGATTCCTCTCTTCAGCTTACTCTGCCCCTGAGCAAAATATAAATCAAAACCTTGATTATAATCCAAGTGGTAAGAAATACTGGGAAAGAATACAACTTTGGGGGAAAAATTGAAGAAGTTCACAAGAAAAGAACATGGTAGGTAAGCATTATTAGCCACAACCAGTGTAAAACTCCCTAAACTTTTCTGCACAGGATAGAACGGCTGCCTGAATGATAACAACTTGATCCTAACCAGGCAAAATTATATCACCTTTTTAGTTAAGTGAACACAAAATCTTCCCAATGATATACTCATTTCCTAAATGTACCCAGGATTCAGAGAGGCAAAAGGAGCAAACTACTGGCTTAATGTCCAGAGACTGCCAGGTGAAAATAAAGAGCCATTTGCACCCTGAACTATTTATACCAGAATTTCCACTTCAACCTATCTTAGAAGTGAATAAAAGAAGAATATGTGTATCTATATATTTTTTGTTAGATCACATTTCATGGGGAAAATTCACTGTACTTCCCACTAAGCTCCATCAATCAGAATGAAGCATTTGAATCATCAGAAGGTTTTGGAAAGTCTTGGTTACCTTTGAAAAGCGAGCATTTATCCATTTGGTAAAGGTTTTCTTCTGCACGTCATTGTGTTCATCTGTGGGAGGGAAAAAGAGAGAGAAGGGAAAAGTATGAGACACTGGACCTTTTGTAAGCATGCTATACTAGATCATCTCTATCCCAGAGAGTTTTAAATGGTGCTACTGGTAGATTCCATGAGACACACGATCCCCAGCTAATGAAGAATGTCATGGCTGACGACCAGCATTTATGGAGCCCGCTAACACATTTATGCAGCACAGGGAAGCTCAGGCGCCTTTCCCAAGCATCGGTATATTGCCAGCAGCCATTAAATCCACATTTGTAGGATAGAACTATCATATGCAATACAGACTTGCATTTTAAGTAATATTTCAGCATAATAAAAATGTCAGCATGTTCAAAACAAAAATCGAAAATATCCATTAAAAACTAAGAAATTCATTATTTCCCTCCTTTTCATATGAGTTCTATGCCTTCCAGAACAAAAACTAGTTCAAGGTTTAGTATGAGTATAGTATAAGGTTTATAGTCAATTTCATACCCTATTTCCTGTAGAAAGAATGACATGGCAAGATTTGAATGATCTTGTTCCATAAATATGATCTATATATTTTGCAAGTAGAGAAATCAGTATTTTTTAAAAATAATTACAAATTCATTTTTCAAGGCACAAATGAAAATTGACCTTAAAAAACTAAAGCATCCTGAACTTCTTGAGATGGGCAGGGTTATTTAGTTGGCTATAAGGAGGCCTGGCAGTATAACAAATAGATCAAAGGGCTTTAGAACCAAATAGACCACATCCCAATGTACTAGCCTGTGGCCTTGGGTAAGTCATTTAAGGGCTCCTGGCCTCTAAACTCCCGTATGTAAAATGTGGATAAATAGCACCCAGCTCATAAGGGCACTGTGAGGATTAGTGACTACAAGTGGAAAATACTTGGCAAAGAGCTGGTGTTCAATTCTTCTTTGTTCTTGTTCTTGTTGTTAGTATAGCATATGTATGAACAAATCAGATAGACATCTATTTTACTCTTTCTGTTTCTTCTAATCATATCCTCTTCAATTGCTCACCAATACGCTAATACAACCAGCAAGAGTCATTGTTGTTTAAGTCCTACAAAGCAGTCTGTTAACAATCTCTAAGTAGTTCTGAAAGCTGCCCAAGGAGCACCTGGAACAGTGCAGAAAGCTGTTATATACACACTGCTGGTTCCACTATCGTCCATACCACCAGGCTGTGCGAGACCCACCCACACACCCCACACCCCCCCCTCCCCGCATGATAACAGCAAAATAATAAGAGAGGAGGCCCCAGTGTGCCCTGACCTCCATCTATCAATCTGAAGGGGCTTCCTCCCACCCAGACCTCCTCACTCAGCTCTAAGCATAATTTGAAATTCACCCCGACACTTCCCCATGTCTGTGGCGTCTTTGGTCCTTACTCTCTTCTGGAAGGAGAGTTTGTAATGAAAAGGTCATTCCTGGAATAAATATAGCAGCAGCTTCAGGAAAGTGCACTTCTATAGATCCATAGGGTAATTGGAGACTGACTCCGGGGCACAGAGGGGACAACTGGAGAAAAACAAAGCTGCTCTCTAAGAAACTTCTTGATGTTAATTGTGCTAAGCAGAGGCCTTCCTCCCAGAGAGGACAATGCAGTCAGCATCAGCCCCGATTGCAGGCTTTCTGCATCTGATCAATGCCACATATCAGCCATTTATTAACCTAGAGGACTTGCTTACACATTCTGAATATCCCAGCCTTGGCCATCACACTCCAGGGGGACAGAGCTCAGATTATACACAGAATATAAGGCAACCAGATACATCAACCTGCAGAGAGCCTATACCAGCCCACCAATATAAATATATTAAAATCAGTGTTCAGAGCACTTGATAAATCCAATTACTTGTCCCACTACTTTCAAAAGATTTATTTTTGTAAATGTCACCATATCTATTATTCTTTAATGCTACAAATACATATGTCATAAATATTAAATCCTGTTAATTTCATAACCTTCATACAATTTAAGGATGTTTGACCATAAAATAAGAAAAATTCTAAGGGATAATATTACTACATTGTATTTTTTTTCTTAACCTCTTTTCTAGGTATTTAGCCTTCTTATTTTCAAAAACATATTAAATTATCTAATACTATATAGGGTCCTCAACAGGTATAAAGTAGAATGAAGTACCCATCACCTTATCAAATGATAAATAAAATCTTTCAATTTTATCAAATATAGAATGAAATCAAATTTTAAAGATTCCCACCATACAGAGACATTTATAAAAATCAATGAGGTAATGTTTCTATGATAGTCTTTGATCTTTGAGTCCAATATAAAATAAAATATTGGCTTGTAAAAGATAACCAAATCCAAACATTTCAAAAACACTCCAAAATTCATCAAAATTCTTTACTATTAATTTTTGTGGTATAGTTAAAGAGGAAAAAAGGATTCATATTTCATATTTCAATAAGCCTTAAGTTCACATTTTACTCTTTATGCGCACACACACACACACACACACACACACACACACCCCAGACAGGAATTCAGTAAAGTACAGGAATAAGCCTGCAGCTTTTCGATTATGAGATTAAAAATGTAACAGCTTTGGAACACTTGGTAGTATAGAACTGCCCTCCACACCACAACAATTATGACCTTGGCCCAGGTCTCTGTAACAGGGAGGTGAAAATATACTAGCAAAGTGGTAGCAAGACATCTCAAAATCTAAGTCATGCTATTCTGATCAATCATTTTGCCTTCCTAGAAATTTATACAGAACTCCAAAAGTCTCGAATTCTGTTAACTCTCCATTATCAAGTCAATTAGTTAACTTACATATGACTATATTCGTTATATATGAATTAAATGAGTGAGTATAATTTACAGTCTAAATATATTCTTTCTGGTTCCCGAACTAGTATTTTCTTTAGATTTGGAGTTTAGAAACACATTTAGTTTCTGAAAACCTTTCCTGCCTCAGTAAATCTTACCCATTAATGACCTTTCTCCATTAGAGGGACAAACACGGCACTGAATTAGAAGAAAAATGTGTTAAATCCCTTAAGGCTGATTTTCCAAATTCTTCCTCTAAATATTTTGCTCTTCTTAGAATGCTTTTGACATGCTCACGCAGATCCAGGGCCTTGGCTGCTGCCTAGCCTGGAATTTTATTTCTGTGATGGGTAAGAGAAACGAAGCAAGAAACATCAACAAAACTGCCTGATAAATCTTCAAAGAAACGAGTTAGAAATTTATTTCACTTCACCAGCTCAAATGCATATCAAAAATGCCTTTAGCAGAGCTTAGCAACAAATCTCAATGTAAACGCTGAACTGGAAATGGGGCAGAGAAACTAGGAGTTGCATCCCCAGGGAAACACTCACACATCTCAGGAGCACATACGCCACCATTAAAACTCTACTATTAGAGAGAAAGCATGACCCTTGTACACTTATCAAAACAAGTGAAGAGTGTCCAACTGGCTGGCAATAACCTGGGTTTCATAAGATGCAACTCTTCAGAAAAGAAGTCCTTAGAATTTAGGCCAAAAAAAAAATCTTGTTGGATGATTTCAAACTTGGATTGACTTTATGGAAGCCTCTTTCAAGAAATTTAACACAACCTAGAAAGCCAGTTTCTCATTAGCAAAAGGAGATGATTTCAGAAGCAGTGAAAGCATTTCAGACCACCCTCTTTTTCCGAGTATGTGAATCAACCCCAAAATAAATCTATTACTAAGGCTTAGTCATTCTCCTCTCCCGCTTTGTCATATCCAATTTGTTGGTCTCTGAAAAACACCAATTCATTTATTCAAACAATATGTATTAAATTGTCATACAGAAACATAAATATTATGTAAATAATCTGTAAAATACTATAAATATATAGACAAAGAAACAGAGACAAGAGGAGACAGACGGCTCAAATGCAGAGTGCTTAAATTCCTGAGTTTGTTTCAAAATCTGACATCCTCAGAGGATCTGGGGGGGAAACTTAAAATTAAAAAATGTGCTTTTCAAAGCTGTCAAACTACCTAAGTGTATAAGAAATTGTGATAACATTTCAAATTATATTTTTGTAAGTTTATTGCATTTATAATTTTAAGTTCTTAAAGATAAAAACTGCATTTAAAACAGACTTTTGCTTTACTCTGTACAAAGCAAAGAAACAGTTGATGGTCCCTTAGGGAGACGTGGAGATGGATGGAGTGAGAAGGAAGAGGAAAACGATTCACTTTTCAAATGAGAAGCTGGAACCAGGGACAAAAGTTAAAAGAATCTCACCCACATACTACGTCGCAGAGTCACAAACAGAACCTGGTCTGACCACCTCCTGAACCTGTGTTCAAAGCACATCCAAGCAAGAGAAGGTCAAAGGGAGTTTCATGGGGGAAACCAGTGTTTATAATATATATTGAAGGATAGATGAAGTTTGGTTCATGCAAAGATGGGAAGAAAGGCATTCTAGACAGATAAAGACATAATTGAATAACACCCTCTCCGTTTCAGGCTCAGACTAAATACCAGACCCTATAAAGAAGAGCAGAGTTAATAAAACATAATTATGTATCTATAAAAAAACACAGAGGACTGTAACATATAATGATGTCAAGACAATAATTCTAAAATAATCCCATCTTCAGAAAGTTTTCCATCCTGAAAACAGTTGAAACCCATAAAAAGGATCAAGCGTACAGTTAGAAATATATGCTCAAAAGAATGTTCTTTTTTTTTTCTCCAAATCATTCTTTTTTTAATTCTTTATTGTTTAAAGTATTACATAAGTCTCCTTTTTCCCCCATTGACCTCTCCCTAGCCACTCCCACCTCCCAGCTCATGCCCTCGCCCCCCTATTGTCTGTGTCCATGGGACCACAGTTTTCTAATCCACTCATCTGCTGATGGGCACTTAGGCTGTTTCCAAACCTTAGCTATTGTAAATTGTGCTGCTAACATGAAGTTTGTTGCTGTGAATATAGGGGTGCATATATCCTTTCTGATTGGTATGTCTGATTTCTTGGGATATATTCCT